GGGTAAGGAGCCCCAGCCCCCCTGATGGGCCCTGCTCTGTGTGTGACAGGGTAAGGAGCCCCAACCCCCCTGTTGGGCCCTGCTCTGTGTGTGACAGGGGGCAGCGCCCCAACACCCGGATTGGCCCTGCTTTGTGCGTGTTATAGGGTGGCGTCGCAACCTCCCCATTGACCCTGCCTTGAGTGTGACAGGGGGCAGTGCACCAACCCCCCAATCGGCCCTACCCTAAGCGTGACTGGGGGTGACATTGCAACCTCCTGATCCACCCTGCTCTGTGCATGACGGGGGCGGCGCCCCAACTCCCCAATTGGCCCTGCTCTGAGCCCAACCAGGGGCTGCACCTAGGGATTGGGCCTGCCCTCTGCTACCCAGGAGCAGGCCTAAGCCAGCAGGTCGTTATCTCCCGAGGGGTCCCAGACTGCGAGAGGGCACAGGCCAGGCTGAGTGACCCCCCCTTCACCCCGAGTGCACAAATTTTTGTGCACCAGGCCTCTAGTAAATAAATAAAAATAAAATTATGCATGATATGTCTTTTTTTTTCAATCAAAACTCCTTCTGTTGAAAGTAGTAATGACACAAACCTTGACCCAAACCAGTTTAAGCAAAGAGATATATGCCTAAGTGACCATCTGACCAGTATCTATGATGTGCACTGACCACCAGGGGACAGATACTCAATGTAGGAGCTGCCGAACTGCGGTTCTCAGGCGACGCACCAGGAACCAGAGAGGAGGGAGCCCGATTCTGGAGTGTGTCAACTGAGAACCACCCTCTTGCAATCCGGGACCCCTCTGGGGGATGTCGGAGAGCTGGTTTTGGCCTGATCCCCGCAGGCCAGGCCACGGGACCCTACTATGCACAAATACGTGCACTGGGCCTCTAGTTTAACATAATGGAAAACATGAAAACACAAGTCAGGGCTGACTTGAGCTCCTCTTGCCCTCTGCTCTTTTCCACCCACATTCCCAAAGGTTCGACAGAATTCACCCTGCCTGACTGTAGGGCTGGTCACAATCAGTGCACCACACTCTTCTGAACTCAGTGATGGGGTTGTTGGTTCAGGGATGGACACCTGACTCACACAGAGGTGATGAAAAGCAATGAAACTCTTGCTTGGGTTTCTAGGCAGGAGGTTGGGGCTCTTTCTGTAGGAATTGAAGTTGGGAAGATGTAAGGTCTGGAGCTGCTGTAACTTCTTGCTACCCCATGGAGAAAACTAGACAAAAATGGAGAAATATGGAAGAAAGGACATTCCCAGAGGGAAATGAAGTAAGTAAGGGCCTGTGGTCTCCACAGGGCAAAGAAAGGCCGTTAGACAGGTGAACGACTAGAACTGGTCCCAGGGTCAAGAAGACCAAGTCTGCGGCACGACTGCACAGGGCTTACATGACTTGACTGTACCAGGTGTATGTGTGGAAAATAGACAAGATTTGTCTGTCAGTATTCTCCAGTAGGACCATCCTAAAGGTCACATTAAAATTACTGACAGACTTCAAACGGGAACTTTTCAAATGATAATCTTTGAAGCCAGAGAAAGCACTCTATGGACTGGCAAAAGGGGGAGGGGGTATGTGGGGATAGGAAGAGATTAACCAAAAAATTTATATGCATATATGCATAACCCATAGACAGACAATAGTGCTGTGAAGGTCTGGGGAGGGGCCAGGAGTGGGGTGAAGAGGGTCCATGAGGGAGAAAAAGAGGACATCGGTAATACTTTTAACAATAAAGATAAATTTTTTAAAAGCACAAAATAAATTCTAAGTACTATTTGAAAAAAGTACATCATTAAATAGAATTCAAAGAGACATTGGCAAAGATACATTGTAGTGGCAAACTTTAATATACTATCGACTTGAACACATCAAGTAGGCAAATATAAATTAGGATATAGAATTATATAAGTAGTATAATGAATACAATTTAATTAGTAGCTCTTGGATTTGGTTTTAAACCAAATATCGAATAAACAGTTGCCAAAATAATTCTCTGCCTAGCAAGAATAAAACCTTCCATTAAAAAAAAAAAAAGCAGAAATTATGTTGGCTATGTTCTTTGACCACAATATGCCAAAAACCTACGAGATAAAAAATAGAATTGGCTATTTACAAATAAGTAAAGTCAGAACTACAAAACAAAACTCCTAGGATATAATCTGAGATGACAAGAACTTTCTGAATTGGTTATTTAAATATATATATATCAGGAAGCAGCCAAAACTATTCTGAGAGACGCATAGCCCTCACAGCTTTTTCCCTTTGTATGAAATGTTTTGATTAATTATGAGCCATTGACCAGTACAGACTTTAAGCCTTAATATTTCTTCTTTCCTATGTAAAACCAGATTATTAACACTGTCTATTCCACGTAAGGCAGAATACCATAGTGTAAATGCAAGTAATAGTAACGTCTGCTCACACGTCTGCAGGCTTCACTAAAGCTAAGAACTAGAGTGCACCCTGTTTCTCAAGTCAGCAAAGCAAATTCAGTTACACATTTTTCCTGCTCATAATTTCAGTTGAAATACAACAAATACTACTTTGCATCTCAATAGCACTTCTTATCCATCACACAAGCCCTTTTCTCTACCCTCACCATTCTTGTGAGGTAGTGAATGGAGGGAGCGAGGACTCGTCCTTTTTTTAGAAGAGAAAACTTAAGGTGAATTTTGAACTCAACCTTGGCAACCTATTGAAAATTATCTAGAAAGTTTTATTTTTTTATTTTTTTAATTAAATCTTTATTGTTCAGATTATTACATTTGTCCCTCTTTTTTCCCCCATAACTCCCCTCCTCCCAGTTCCCGCCCCACCATCCACCCTCACTCCCCACCCTCTGTCCTCATCCATAGGTGCACGGTTTTTGTCCAGTCTCTTCCAGCATCTCCCACAACCCTTTCCCCCACAAGAATAGTCAGTCTATTCCCTTTTTATGTCCCTGATTCTATTATGATCACCAGATTATTTATTCACTTGATTCTTAGATTCACTTGTTGATAGATGCATGTTTGTTGTTCATAATTTGTATCTTTACCTTTTTCTTCTTCTTCCTCTTCTTAAAAAATACCCTTCAGCATTTCATATAATACTGGTTTGGTGTTGATAAACTCCTTTAGCTTTTTCTTATCTGTGAAGCTCTTTATCTGACCATCAATTCTAAATTATCGCTTTTCTGGGTAGAGGAATTTTGGTTGTAACATCTTGCTATTCATCACTTTGAATATTTCTTGCCACTCCCTCTGGCCTGAAAAGTTTCTGTTGAGAAGTCAGCTGACAGTCTCATGGGAGCTCCCTTGTAGGTAACTAACTGCTTTTTTCTTGCTGCTTTTAAGATTCTCTCTTTCTCTTTAACCCTTGCCATTTTAATTATGATGTGGCTTGGTGTGGGCCTCTTTGGGTTCCTTTTGTCTGGGATTCTCTGCACTTCCTGGACTTGTAAGTCTATTTGTTTCACCAGGTAGGTGAAAAAAGTTTTCTGTCACTATTTTTTCAAATATGTTTTCAATATCTTGCTCTCTCTCTTCTTCTGGCACCCCCAAAATGTTGGTACTTTTGAAGTTGTCTCAGAGGCTCCTTACACTATCTTCATATTTTT